AAATCAACACTAAATTCAACAAAACAAATCAGACTCATCATCCTCATCATCATCATCAGCAGCACCGCTGTCATCACTTGAATCACAGCTAGACTCGTCGTCATCAGCCTCTTCTTCAGCATCCACTAGCATTCCCTCAACACCATCATCCTCGTCCTGCGAAATACCTTCTTCACCATTATATTCAGGAATCTCATCTGGAGCACATAGAGCTGGTGGAACCTCAATAGTTGCCTCCTGAAAAATGCCTGAGTCAACCTGAGCATCAATCACTGACTTCGCCTTTGTCTTAAACACAGCCCACCATTGAGCAGAATCCTTCTTAAGGCTGGGATAAGGTGCAAAGTACACTTGCCTTACTTGGTATGGCAACACAAAAGGATTACAGTTTGGGTTTTTCTTCACATGGTTGACCTCAACAAGCTTGTACTGCTCATGAATATTAATATCCTCCATCCAACTGCACTTGAACAATATTGTCTTATACACTCCAAGATTTCCGGTGTAAACAAGTTCAATCACATCATCCAAAATGCCGAACTCTGATCCATCTTGATGGGACACACAAACTCCATAATTCATGGTCGACTTGTGTTTGCCATACTCATATGTTTGAAAACTGAAACCATTAACAGAAAATTGACTCCATGTCTGAGCTTGTTTGCATGGACCCAACGCCAAAGCACGCATCACATCACTGGTTGTCATTGATCGAAGTACCTAATTTGAAATAGCCAATCAATGGTAACGAATGTGAATACATATAGATTAAAATTATAATAACAATTCAAGAATATTTTGAACTTCACTCACCTGTGACTTGAACCACTCAGAAAACTCAGCTTCGCATTTTTCCCAAACGTCCTCCAATACTACACCCGGTCGAGTACGAACAATGTGCTCCTCAAACCACCTATATAATTTCAAATTTATCATGTCGTAGTAAGTCTCTGAAATGCCATATAGATCTCAAACAATGATATGTATTTAGGTACTTACTTCTCGTAGTCACCTAAGATGCCACAGTTTGCTAACACATACATATGTGCATGTTGATACTCAACGTTTTCCAAGAAACGACGACTACCTTCATTAGGTGCATGACCATAAACCTTAAACAATTCTGGGACATCTTTTTCTTGCAAGTGTCTTTCAACTTTTGAATTCACATTCTTTCCTAAGTCCTGTGCTTTTGTGTCCACTTCTGACTGAAAGTAATGTGAACAAAAGTTTGCAATCTCCTCGTTTAAGTAAGCATTGCATATTGAACTTTTGACACGAGCCTTGTTTCCGACCTTGCGTTTCAGATGGTTAAAAAACCTAGCAAAAAGGTAAATAGTGCCTGAGAAATTTAATGGACCACTTTGAATATGGAAACTAGAATGTAAGGACATTTTAACAATTTAAAACTGAAGTTCCTATTACCTTTCAAATGGGTACATCCACCGATATTGTACAGGACCACCCATCTTGGCCTCGTATGGCAAATGCAATGGTAAGTGTTCCATAGAGTCAAAAAATGCAGGGGGGAAAATCACTTCAAGCTTGCAAAGGATCTCAGCAATGTTGTGTTCCAAGCGCTCCATGTCACTCACTTTGATGGTAGAGGAACACAGGTCTCGAAAGAATTGACTGATCTCTGTAATTGGTTTCCAAACATGCTCTGGGAGCAATTCCTTCAAAGCGACCGGAAGTAGCCTCTCCATAAAGACATGGCAATCATGACTTTTCATGCCGCGAAGCTTACAAGTCTGTAGATCAACAAATCTGGTCAAGTTTGAAGCATATCCATCTGGAAATCGCAGATTTTGAACCCACTCGCACAACGCCTTCTTTTGTGCCTTGTCAAGTGTAAAAGGTGCTTTTGGCATGCTTTCTTTTCCTCTGTCATCTAACGTGAGCTCTAGTTGTGTTCGTTTGCAAACACGTGCCATGTCTTTTCTAGCAGCCACCGTGTCCGAGGTATGTTTTTTCACATCCATCACAGTGTTAATCAATTGATTAAAAAAGTTTTTTTCAATGTGCATAACATCTAGGTTGTGACGAATTAGCAAATTCTTCCAGTACGGAAGCTCCCAAAGTATGCTTTGTTTAAACCAACCCTTTTTTGCATTTTTTATCCTTTTAAGAGCTTCCGGCCCATCAATAGCTTTTGGCATGTCCTTCACACAACGCCACAACTCTTCTCCAGACATGATGTGTGGAGGGGAGTGCTTTTCAACTCTATTCTTACAAAATGCTATTTTATTGTTTCAAAAGGGGTGGTTAGGAGAGAGAAATTGACGATGACAGTCAAACCAAGAAACTTTGCCTCCATGGTCAAGCCAAAAGGCTTTGCTTTTGTCCAAACAGTAAGGACATGCCTTTTTCCCCAAAGTAGACCATCCAGATAGTATTCCATATGCTGGAAAATCACTAATGGTCCATAAGATGGCTGCCCGGAGATTAAAATTTTGTTTCCTTGAGATGTCATAAGTAGTGGCGCCATTCTCCGACAACTGTTTCAGCTCTTCAACTAGCGGTTGCATGTACACATCTAAGTTTCTTTTCAATTTTTTCGAACCAGGTACAAGCAAAGAAAGGAACATGAAAGGCTTTTTCATACACAATGACGGAGGCAAGTTGTATGGGGTTAGAGTGACGGGCACATATTGCCCTCCAAATTTACCATGTGGTGCAAATCCATTGGTGCACATACCAAGTCGAACATTACGAGGCTCGGAGGCGAAATCAGGAAAAGATCTATCCAAGTGCTTCCAAGATTCACTGTCCCTAGGATGAACCATTTGGTTTTGGACTCGGGGTTTCTTGGCATGCCATGTCATGTCCTTTGAAATGCTCTTAGTTGCAAACAACCTTTGCAACGTGGTGTGATTGGAAAATATATTAAAACTTTTGAGGGAACCAAGGCACCCTTAGAAGTCTTCTTGTATCTATCACTATCACACAATCTACATTTGTCTAAGTGGGCATCACCTCTCCAAAAAAGCATACAACCCTTAGGGCATGCATGTATCTCCTCATGAGGAAGTTCAACCCCTTAATAACTTTCTTTGTTTCGAGGAAAGTCCTACCTATGTTGTTGCTGTCCGGAATCGCTTCACTTAGCAATGAAGCAAATCCATCAACACACTTGTGTGGCAAGTTGTATTCACATTTCAGTCTTGTTATTTTAGATGCCATCTCCAACACAGACATGGTACTCCCATCATAAAGTGGTTGCTCTGCTGCCATCACAAGGTCAAAAAACTGCTTTGCTTCCACATTTGGCTCTTCTTCCACGACACTTGAGTTTCCTTTAGCCAACAGTTCCTGGTTATTCTTATTAACATTAACAACCAGTTTCTGAGAAGAAGAATTCCCAACCTGTTTTTGAGAAGAAGAATTCCCAACCAGTTTCATAGTAGAAGAATTCCCAACCAGGTTCTGAGAAGAAGAATTCACAACCAGGTTCTGAGAAGAAGAATTCCCAACCAGTTTCTGACAAGAAGAATTCCCAACCAGTTTCTGACAAGAAGAATTCCCCTGGTCTAGATCTGAAAAACCTTCCCCATGGCAATACCAATCATAGTAGTTAGGAATAAATCCCTTCTTGTGTAAGTGATCTTTGACTGTCTTCGGATCGTAGATACGTAAGTTCTTACATTTAGAACAAGGGCATCTAACTTCATCTATGTTTGAGCCCTCAGGATTTTGTCTGCAATGCTCCATGAAGTCTTCAACCCCTTTCAAGAACCCGGGCTTAAGATTACGCCCACTAAGCCTATCATACATCTAGCTGCGCTCCCTCCGTTTCATGATAACAAATTCTACGCATCACACAAACGATGTCATAAAACACTGTGTGACCGCACTTAAGGAATTCATGTAAGAAATAAACCCAACTAAAGTGACTCTGTGTTTAAGTAATGATATTACACCACTTGTGGCATTGTGGCAACACAGTGAGAGTAATCTGATTATATAATCAGGCTTATTGGGTGAGCAGGAATGAATAACAAATTTAAAATCTAGCATATATAAAACCATTCAATGCAATTACTATTGACTCAAGATGCTCCTACAACGAGTTAAATGTTTCCCATACATTACTATTCAACACAGAATTAAAATACAACTTAATACAATACTACATAATTAACACCCACATAATTGCAAAACTTAGTCTACTAACACAACTTAGTATAATAACACTGTATCTAACACTTAGAATAAATATTAACACAACCTAACCAATTCAAAAGTATAACATAACTTAATTTGTCAACAAACAACCAAATTATAACACACTACTCCATAACATAAACAAGTAGGAAAAAATCAATTACACAACTACCATGAACATACAAATTACTGCATTTCACATTTCATTGAACAAAATCTGAAAAAATAAAATAAAATTGGAGATTACTTACCTCTAATTAACCTGGATTATTGGCTCCAACCAAGAAATATAATTGCAAAAATCTACCAAAAAAAAAAAGGGTTAGTGAGTTTGGAAAATGCTTGATACAAAAAACTCGAAAAACAGTTGAATTACTACATTAGAAAATCAAAAAATATAGGGTTAGGGTTTAAAAAAATTTGGGTAAATTTACTACAAAAAAAAAAATTAAAAATTGTATAGAAAAAGTTAAGGATTACATACCATGAGTGAAGAAGGACAGAATCCGGCGGATGAAGACGGCGGAGACGGCGGTTTGGACGGCGACGGCGGTGAATATCTACTTTCTCTCTCCTATCAATTCTTCCCTTTCAATTTTTTTTTTTTTTTTTCCAGAAGTAAAGTTTGGTTACTGAAGAATTTGCTGAGTCAGTAATTTTTAGTCGCATTTCAGCAATAGTTTCAAAACTGTCGTAAAATCGGTCGTTATTATTTCTGAAAATTAAAAATAAATTGAAAATGCAACTTATTAAGCCGTCGCTAATAAGTTTTACCGACGGGTCTTTGTCAGTCGGTAAAATCCGTTGCTTTTTATCTGTTTTTTTTTTTTTTTTTTTTTTTTTTGCTGTAAATATACTTCGTCTTCCATCAATTACTTTTGCAACGCTGCAACATTCACTGACTTCGGTATTTTCTCTCTCCTCCCTAATCTCCTATACCTCAATATAAGTTCATTAACCATATTAATTTCCAATTTGTTTTTGGAGTTTATAATTACTCGTTTAATATTGTAATTTCCCTTTTTTAATTTATGTATAAGCATACTATTATTGCAATGGTTTTCCAAATTGATGGTTATATAATACAAATTGATGTTAGTTTTGTGTTGTTAGTGGGATTTGATTTCAATTTCATGTATTTTGTGACAATTTATTTCAATTTCATACTGTAATTGGTACTTTTATTTTTTAGTACTGTATAAGTTTATTCAGTTATTGAGTGTTTGCTCCTTTGCTTCTTGTTGTTGGCCAGGATTGAGGGTTCAATATGGAGTTGAATTGAAATTGTAATTCAAAGTTGAAGAAATTTGCATTATATTTCAACTTCCATCTTCACATATTGTCCTGAAGTTTAGTCATGTGTGACTGTGTTCAGTCAGCTGCTATTATAGCTAACCGATTTAGCGGCATTCGATTTCGAATATTAGGTCAAGCTCAATGTGGTTGGAATCGCAAGCCAGTGTTTTTGGCACCAGAAATATTAACTGGGTACAAAGATTGTTCTGTTATTAATAAACTGTCAAACAGAAAATGCAGGAGACATGAGAAGGTTATTATGGATAGAAGAGTTGTGACAAATTTGGGTGTGTTTGGTTTAAATGCATTTGATTCTGGTTCTGACTTGAGGCTGAAAGAGGGAGGGGATGAGGATTTTGAATTGGGTTTGCGAAATGGTGAAGAAAAGCTTAAAGACTTAGGTTTGATCGGTGAAAATGAAGCTTCTGATGATATGAGGAATTATGATAGCTTGAACAGTGAGAAAAATCAGAATGGTGAGCTTGGGCAGTTGAATTTCGACGAACTTTTACAGGAGGAAGGTGAAGGGAGAGTTTCTAAAGCTGCAGATTTAATGTCTATTAAAGGTGATGGGAAGAATGAGGATTCGGAGTTGGGTTTTGACCAATTTGAGGAGCTTCAACAGTCCAACTCAAAGCCAAAACACAAGCTAGAGAGGAAGGTGGAATCTAGGAGTAGAAAGCAGTTGGCAAAGAGATCAAGCATTCTTGCAAAGCAAGTGATAGGGATTGAATCCGCTTGCAGTTTGGGATTTGTTTCACAGCTGTGGGTTGACACTGCAACTGTATGCTCATACTATCCTTTACCTCATGTATTTTAAATCTGAGTACATTCTCCATTTATATATTCAGTATAACTTACATGCACCTTTTGCTTTCTTGAAAGATTGATTAGTATCATCTTGCTGCGAAGATTCACAAGAACTGTCTCTATTATGCACATTCTTCAATTAAATTGCATTACTTGTGTCAGCTGTGTCACATAAACACTTATTTGATACCTCAAATGGATACTTAGGTTAGATTTGATCCATGAAATATGCAGTAAGAGAGATCATTGGAAGACTGCAAAGAATGTGAGTAACTTAGAATTAACAACAATACATCATAATTTCTTAAATATGCAGTGTGTTTGGCTTTGGTTGAAGAGTTTTGGTGAGGGGAGAGTGAGGAGTTCATTACTCTATATTCACTTGTTTGGATGAAGAGTTGATGGAGGGAAGAGGATTAGAGAGATCTATTTTCTTTCCCGGTCTAATTAATTAAATTTTTCTAATGTTTTTAGCAGGAAAATGCAAGTCCCCTCTTTCTCCCCTCCCATCCCTTTTCCTTCCCTCTCTTCCCCTCACCTCCTCTTCCAGCCTTCTCTCTTTGATTGTTAACCAAAAACTTTCTTAGTAAAGCTAAACTAGCACTTTCCATTCTCATAGTGTCAGTCATGGTTCTTTTTTTTTTTTACGCTACACAATTAGTGGTTAAGCCTCATTAGTGGTTCTCTTTGCACTTTGGTCTGTTCTTTGACTAGTATTTGCAAGGAATCAATATTTAGGGGAGGGTATGTTAGGAGGGATTTTCTATGAATAGGCCTCATTAGAAAGAAGAAGGATATGTTGAATATTGTGTGGTTTGGGAGAGTGAGCCTCTCGAAAGCTCATATTTAGAGAGAATCCACCTCTTGAAAATGGAATTATCATCCAATTTATTGTAATTCTCATCTTATCAATATAATCATCTTCTTATTAATTTTCTGCCATTGTTAGAGCTGTTAGCTATGTCAGTTCCTAGCATATTTTTTCCTCCAGAGATTTCATGCTCGATGACTGTTATCTTTAAAATGTTGGTCGTTGATACTTAAATAATATTGAATAAGGTGCTTGTTTAAATTTCAGGTTTTTTCTTTATAAGGAAGTGGTGCGGTACAAGTCAATAAGATATGATGAATTTATCATCTTAAGCTAAATGACCAAGCAATTATTTGTTAGCATATAAGCATACTCTGTTTGTTTTATTGACTATGGATTTTATCAATGGGGTGCCACTCCTGTATCTTGACTTTGTGTATGAATCGAAAGTCTGAATTCAGTTCTAGCAGATTTTATTCGGTATTTCTGTGACTAAATACACAAATTTTCTTTTTCTTTTTTTTTTTTTTTTTTTTTTTTTTTTATGACATGTACTTTGGCCTGTTATAATCCCCTTTGCTCTTGTTGCTTATGTTTTTCAGTGGGCAGTAATGGAGGTTGAAGTCAGGCCAAACTTGCTTTCTTCAGAATCAGTAAAATTTCTTCTTGAAGATATTAAAAAGGTATATAGCTTTACTCTTTTGTAAGTTTTGGCTTTAATATGTCTAGCTAAAATAGCATACAAATTTGAACAATTCAGCTGCCTATTGTTGCATGCACCTATACCACCATAACAGTTCTCTTTTTTCGTCTGCCCACTTCAGATTGTGTAATTTATTCACGTTTATAGCTGGACTTATGCTTGGATCATGATCGTGGTTTTGGTTTATTGTTACATTGGTGGGAGACAAATTGTGTGGCTGACCACAAGTATTGTCATGCTGAATAGACTTCAATTATGTCTCCCTTGTTATGAGATTCACCTATTTCACCCACAGGCCATTTTGTACCATGTTTATGACATTAATGGAAGTAATTGTTGAAGCAACACAAGTAATACTTTTTTTTATTAATTGTAATAGTAATTGTTCTCTTGTCATTTAAGTATGAATTTTTAAATGTCTACAGGTTGGTGATGTGGTGCTTGTACAGGAGGAAAACTATATACAAAATGAATTTAGTACAGTTGGACTGGAAACCTTGGTATGTTCTGTGATTTCTCTTCCAACTACATTTGAAGTGTAAACTAGCTGGTAATTATAGTAAAAAAGGTAGATGCGGCTGACAAACAATGATGTTATGGTCAAAAACATGCCCTGCAATACATGGAAGTGTGGTCATATAAAAAGCTGCTCCTAAATTCATGAACTCACACATTGAGTACATGTGGTGGATAGATTAGAGCTAAAGTGACTAATTTATTGTTAACTTGTGGGGTTCATACACAGTATTTGTAGGAATATACCATTTACTCTTCATAAAAAACTTTGCTGTGAGAATACTGCTTGCTAATACAATATTACGGCAAAATAACTTTTTGCAGAATATAAGTTTGATCTGTTGCATAAATATATTTGTGTGATTTGGTAGGACTGTGGGAGGTTTGTTACTTATACATTTGAATTCTTGTAATATTCGTATCCAGTTATGAGATCTGACTTTTGCCTTTCTGTTAGGTAGGGTACAGTGTTGTAACACCTAGACAAAGAAATTTGGGAAAGGTGAGTGTGTCTGATCCATGCTTGATTTAGAGGACAAATTTACTCATGATTCAATTGCAATTAATTTCTGCTCATTCTTGTAGGTTCGTGGCTACACTTTCAACATCAACTCTGGTACTGTGGAGTCTCTTGAGCTCGATGCATTCGGGTATTCAGTTATTCCTTCAAGTCTGGTAGGTCATTTGTGCTTCTATAGTCATAGTTTGAACTTGCACACCATTGGTTAGCATAGGCTTAATTGGAACTTGACAAATCCGGCTTTGATTATTAGACAAGGCCTACCACACTTATGAACATGCACTTCAATAATGAAGAGACAAAAAAGCTGACAAACCCCTTGAATATCATTTTATGGGTGACAATGACTTTTTATGACATATGGTTGATCAATTATCATCTCTTCCTTTCATTGATTTGCATAAAGGTTTCCATTTTTGAGCGAGAGTGAGGGACCACATTTAATGTCTACCATTTATTATGTAAAATGGAACTTTCATAAGCTTTTGTTATGATTTTCTTATATAAATCAAATATAGTCTATCCTATTTAATGAGTTATTGACTCATCTTGATGATTTCAGGTAAGTACTTATGCCTTGTTCAGTGATGATGTACTTGAGGTAGTCTCAGATCTCATCATAGTGCATGAAGCAGCAGTCTCACGCATCCAAAGGTTGACCAAGGTAATGACTCTTTGAGTTTTTCTTAATGCAATGAACAAAATTATAATCATTCATTTGAGGAGTTGGTAACGTTATTCAGATCACTGCATTGCCTCAACTTTTAGGCTCATGTCCAACATATTAGGGTTCAAGGCTGTGATATGTCTTGCCTAGGATTCAGGTTCAATTCGCCGTCCATATTTTAGGCTGTGAAGCGGCAAATTAGCAATGCTCATTGATAATTGGCTAGTTGTTTTGGAGAAAATTACTGCAGCAAACTTTACTCAAACCTTTAGGATTTTTTATGACTCCTCCCGCCCCTTTTTCTTTCTAGGGATGATAGAGAATGCTCCCTATCTGTTCCAGAACACTCTACAGTACTAATGCTAATAAGTAATATCAGTAAATCACATGTGCATAAACAAAAGACGCTATAGTTTAGAATTGAAGGAATAATTTCCCTGGAAAGCTCTTCCTAAACTTTTAAACTGCAATCAAAAGTGAATATGCATAGTTTTTACACATCCATGTTGGTTGAATATCTTATCTTGTTCGCTTGCCAGGGATTGTTAGGCACGAAGATCGCTGAGACATCAAGCATTAATCTCAAAAACCGCGACATGGAATTAGATTCTACACAATCTGTTAAAGATCGTAAGCCAAGAAGGAAACCAAGTAAGCGAAAATTCTATCCAGGAACTAGGGATCTGGACAATGACTTTGATCTCCCTATGGATTACATGTAGTAAATACTACAGTAAATGTTAATTTTTTTAAAAAAAAAAAAATATATACTCCTCCTACCCTCCCTTTGTAATTAATTTCATATACTCCATAAGTTTGTAAAATTTCGTTCTCACTACCTAATTTATTTGAACAAAATTATGTATTCAATAGTGAAATAAAATCAATTTAATTTCTTTTCTTTGAAGTATTTGGTCTACAAATAAGATTGTAATTCAATTTTTTTGGTTTTTTACACAACTTTGAAACTCATGCATGAAAGCTGAAAACTTTGCAGTTTATGAGGTTCAATTATACAATGATACATAGACTCTTGATGTTGATTTTAATTTGGGAAAAAATAAATAAATAATGGCCTATGCAGGTCTCGAACCTGCGACCTTCGCGTTATTAGCACGACGCTCTAACCAGCTGAGCTAATAGGCCTTGATGTTGAGACACTCTAGTGCAACATAAAACACTAAATCAATAATATCACAAATTCTTCAGATTCTCTCATTTCTAAAAACTGTACAGTACAAAATTCTGATACTCCTTAATAATGTGTTTTTTGTCGTAACATTGGGACACTAATTATCGTTTCACGGAAAAGACATACATTTGCACCTAATCCCCTAATAGCCGTTACCCGCCCCTCTCAATTCAAATTCAAATTAGCAATCATACTTTATTTTTATACATTAAAATAATCATATATAAATTGTCTATCAAAATTTTCATAATCACCACCTTCATTTCTTTGACTATCATCTCCTCACTCCCTACACACATCCTTTCTCTCCTGTCTTCCATTCTCGATGCTCGCCGCCGAGCAACCCTCCGCATCTCCCCACTTCCGCCACCCAAAACCCGGTGGCCGAAAACCTTTACAACCCAAAAACAGCATTGTCATCAACAACAATCACTATGATCCTTCTCCAAAACAAAAATCAAACCCACCAAAAACAAATCAACTTTTCATCCCAACATTATCACCCATTATCATCGTCAATGATTCTAATAAGGAGAACTGGGATCCGACCATCCCTCTCATTGAATCCATGGATGCTTCCTTAGCCGATGAGCTGACCGCGGTCAAGCAGAAGCTAGAACGACTCAAGTTTGAAAAAGATAAGATTGATAAAATGCTTCAAGAGCGAGACCGTATTCTTGAGATTCAAATGACTGAGCTTAATCACCGTGGAGAGTTTCAGAAGGAGCTCGAAATCGAAGTCGATCGACTTTATCGATTGAAGCATCTCAAGCTCGCTTGCACAGTATGTAATTATGCAAATTAATACAACCCCAGATAATTTAAATATTGCTGGATTTATTTTTTAAATTTTGCTGATTATTAAATTGAATTGAATCGAAGCAGAGGATGTCTCCAATTCGGTCATTGAGGGAAAAAGAAATGGAGAAGAAGAACAAGGATTCACAACCTGAGCTCACTATTGTAAGTGTTGTTTCATTCTTGTATACATTTGGTTATTGACATTTTATTTATTACATTAATTTATTTATTTTGAGACTGATTAATTTTGTAAAATTATTTATGAATTTTATAGAGTGAATCGTCTGAGAAATCAGGGGAAAATAAGGAGGAAATGGTGGATGAAAACAGCACTTCAGAGAGTCCAGCCCCGAGTTTTTCGAGTTCGAAATCATCCACATCAATTACTTCCACATCCAATTCCAATTCCAATTCCAAGTCGACAGCGAGTTCAAAATTGTTGCCAATTCGGTTAAGGTTGGGGTTGGGATTGGAAAGTGCATTGGATGATGATAAGTAACAATGTATAAAGAGATGGAGGAAAACACATACAAGTAGTATATTTTCAACCATGGTTGATTGATTGATTGATATAAGATAATGTTCCAATTGCTAATTAATTTTCAGGCAAACGTATGTAATGTCTTGTTATATATGCTGCAATTTATGGTGATATCAATTTGCTCTTTAAGATTATGTTTGATTTGTTATGTGTAGTTGTTCGTGTACACAGGCAACTTGTTTTCCTGTTATTTATGCTATCATTCTTAATAGCCTTTAGGCAGAAGACTACGTACTAGTGGTAGTACTCGAACTTGTGACCTCCTAGCCATAACCGAACATAGGTGATTAACATCTAGACCAAGGCACCAAGCAATCAAGCATGCATGTTCCTGTAGCAACAAGCCAACAAGTACCTCAGCTAATAAAAGGGTGGGTCAGTGGATGTAGTGGGGAAGTCACAGTAGTGCATTTAGTGTCTGGCTGATACCTCGTTAATAAATAAAAAATTATTCCCTATAATATATACTATTGCAGTTTTTTTTTAAAAAAGTTTTTTTAGTTGACACGTATTCCTTTTTAGAAAGTTTTTTTAGTTGACACGTTTTATTTTGGGGTAAATTTTTTACCTTGCATTTACAAGCTACCCCACTTGTTTTTTATTCTCTCTCACTCTCTCTCTCTCCTCTCCTTAATAGGCGGAGGAACTAAATAAAGACGGAGGAAGTATATGTTTCACAAAGATATACTTGTATGGAGTAATTTACAGTCTTTGACACTTCATGAACAAAACATTGACACTCTTCTCTGCCTTTAATATTCTTGTTGTGCCAAATCAGCCAATAGGATATGGATTCATAATTTTGCTGGTATTGTATTCATGAAATCAAATACTAGAAGTAAATATCAAGTTTAAAATAGGATTGCAAAAAGTTATTTTACATTAGAAACTTGTAGGCAACAACATAAAACCATACGAAATATCTTTTAGTAACATTCCTAAGCATATTCGTCTCGCTTTTAATTTAAGGGAATAAGGCAACTAATGTTGGAAGATTTCCCTAAAGATTTTTGAATTGTAAATTAATTCCCGATTTGCGTTGGTTTAAAAACTTATTCCCACAATATTGTCCACGTAGGTTTGGTAGTTTTTTTTTTTTTTTTTTTTTTTTTGCAAAGAACCGCTAACGGTGATAGCGGTTCTATACTTATAAAACCGCTAATGTCGTTAGCGGTTCTTGTATTAGGCTCTTGTATAAGAAAACTTCACAAGTTAAACTTAATATAAATTAATATAATAAGTATAGAACCGCTATCACCGTTAGCGGTTCTTTGTAAAAAAAAAAAAAAAAAAAAACACCAAACCTTTTTCCAATCCTAAGTGGACAATATTATGGGAATAAGTTTTTAAACCGACGCAAATAGGGAATTAATTTACAATTCAACAATTTTTATGGAAATCGTTCAACTAATGTTCTTTTCATCCAATTAATAAGTATCAAGTAACTTATCTTATAAAGCCTAAAGCTATATTATTACAATTTTATTATTAGTTTTTATCTTATCTTATACAAACACATTTGAACGTATGTACATTATCTTATAATTACGTATTCCCCTCAATGAAAAATCTTATAATTACGTTAACTTATTAATCCGAAAGAAGTCCATACAAGGTGAAGAGATTAAATAGAAAGATTAAGCTCAAATCACAAAATAATTAAGTGAAGGTTAGATTTGTTCAAACTAGTAGAATTAATTTGGTGAAGAGATTAAATTTTTGTTCACAAAACTCAATCAAATATTCACCTAATCAAATCTAAAACGTGTCCAAATATATTTTAAATGGTAACGTGACCTCAAAAGGTATAATTCAAAATTAAAAGGAGTATTAATTCAAAATAATACTAAAATCATCCATCCTACAAAAATAAAATAGTGGTATATATACGCAATGTAGTCATTGTTCTTCTACAAGCTTCTTAGTTGCATATTTGGGAGATTTAAAGATTGATTTTTTTAGCCACATAAACGGCAACAAAGAACGATAATACAAAATAAAAAGGCATAATAACAAAGAAACAGGCTAAGGTTGTGATTGTTACGCATAATTTAAATCACATCAGGCGAGCCGCAACCAAAAGCTTTCGCCACTACAAATCAAACTTGTTTTATGCGTCTGCCATTTTGCTACTTTGCTTATAATGTTAGTGAATGAAAAAGACTCTCTTTTTTTCTTTGTTATTGGGGAAGTAGTGGACTAGTGGGAATGTGGGATTGCCTTCATCAATCTTCTACATAACTTGTAAAGGAGGCCACATATATAATGGTAACAAGATGATCATGTACGCTTTTACTAGAACTACATGCACACGTAAAATTCATATATATATATATATATATATATATATCATCTCGTATTATATTTATTTATTTATTTATTTTGGTGTTTAGAGAGTCACAAGCCCATAACTCACAAGGGTAGGGGTGAGAATTGATCATAGGATCACTTGGGATAATGAGGGAAGCTCAAACCACTTGAACTATCTTTTACTCTCACATCTCGTATTATATTAACATTGTCTTAGAATTAAAACAAAATTGCATTATGTATGGGGTTATTTAACTATTCTAGGCTATTTACTTGTTTTGTGTGTGGATATCAAACTATTAAAGATTTGGTTGGCTTAAATAATAGAGATATTAATTAGTAGCCAACATCTTTTTAATTTTGATTACTTTGTCTCATTTTTTGCTCTTTGCTCCTGTTAAATAAAAAAAGTGGATATATAAACAAATTCCATTATTTTATACTACTTTCATTTCTATAAATGATTGTAATTAACGCTCGCTGTTTGTTTTCTTCTGTTTAAAAAATTTGCTTGTGTTTTCTATTTTTAGTAAAAAAATTTCCTTGTTCAATTTGCTCTAATACCATGATAAACGGGCCTGGGCCGCACCCGACATAACTATTCACTTTATACAACCTAGGTAGTTTCACCTCAAAACCATATGCCAATAAGGAGAGTAGCCCTTTAGTCTTGTAAAGTGGACACAACTTTCTTATTTCTTCAATGTGGGATACACTTCCCAATACAAACTCTTACTATAAACTAAACCAATGTGGGATAACACACCACTCACATGTGGGTAATCTCATGGGCTTAACACTCCCCCTCACATGTGAATTGTCTATAATATTGGCTCAGATCACAACGCTACTTAACCTAGCTCTGATACCATGATAAACGGGTCTGGGCCACACCCAACACAACTATCCACTTTATACGACTTAGAAGATTCCACCTCAAAAGATTGAAATAAATCAGTTAGTGTATAACCTAGTACTAATGTATTCCAATAAAATAATGTGAAATAGTTTTATTGGGAGTATTATAAAATATAATTATCTCCTTCATAAACATTGGTGGCAAACATGTAATTGAAGTTAGTTTTAATATAAAATCGCTAATGGAGTGAGCAGTTTTAATTTCCCAAATATTACGGAGTACTATTTTTCTTATCTGATCTAAACAAAACTTTTTCTTTTTCTTTTTTATCAGATAAAACTTTAAATAATAAGGTATTGAACATGGTGAATTAAACTTTTTTTTTTTTTTGGAGGGATGGTGAATTAAACGTAGTATTATGACTAATCACACATTCACAGTTCTGCTTTTACACGTCAAACATATAAATAGGAGAATAATTCTACTGCATGGGCTTATCCATTTTGCCATACATGGTACGTATTCCCTTCTTAGTGGATTAGCTTTCTTCTTTAATTCTAGACCCCTACATTTGGATCAAAGCTTTGAGACCTATTCACCTATTGCACTCAAAATTCGTTAGTTAAAGATATACACAAAATTTCTTATGGAGATTGGAGAATAAATCTTAAGGAAGAAAAAAGAAAGAAAAAGGGTAGATTTATTAAGTTGAATACAATTCTACTTTCTAGTGTAATTATAAGATTAAAAATACAGAGTATTGGGCATATGTGTGATTCCATTTAAGCGTGTATCCATCCATCCAATTCCAAATATGGATAGTCTAATAAGTTATAGTATACAATCCCAATTTCATAATATTTGCAACAAATGTTGAGTTTGTACGAGTTTTTAGCTAGGTAAAATTTATTTGTGAGTATAAATAAAGAGACATAGAGATACATATGACATATCATGTGGAGAGAATAGAAAGAAATGACAGATTAAAAAAGAAATTAAAATACTGATATATTTGTTGTACATATATAATGTGTAACATCCATATTTAGTAATGTTGCATAGATATAATATGAAACAATGGGAGTATAAAATTTTAAAAAGCCTATATAATTCTAAAAACTTTTATTTAAATTTTAAAAGTTGATAGGTTTAAAATTTCATATGAAATTTTCCTTAAAATAATAATAATAATAATAATAATAAAAATATATGAAACATCCAATAAGTTAAGTTTGCTCACCTTGAGCCTAGACTCATACAATATTTTTGTCAAAATAATGTAAACAAATGGCCTTATATTATTCCAATTCAATTGGTTTCTTTTTACTTTTCTTGATTTCATTCATAATTTCATATTGATGTAAATGATAATCTTTTATTAATATATATCTTTAAGTTGAGTTAAAAATAAAGTTTCTTTTCACTTTAATTTTATTTTATCTTGTCTTATTAGCCTAAAATCCTTTAACTTATTAACTCTTGTTAGGACGAAGGGAGCGATTTATATTGATACATACCAATAACACATGTCAATGATATTACATACAAAAGTATTGTATTATTTTCGAAAGACAAAATCACAAAAGTATTGTATATCTATTAAAAGATGAAGAGCTTCCTTAACCCTTAAGAGTACAATAATCTCTTTCAAAATTTCAATTATGTATACATAAAAATCTTTTAATATTGATATGATAAAGAGCTACTCCATACCACTCTAGCAAAGCAATACACCATTATTATTATTATTTTAAAGAAAATCCTATCAATCTAATACACATGCATGTTCTAAATTTGAGTAACTTTTGCGCATAATATATATATGGATTACTTTCCCGTCTAAAAAAAGAGGTTACTTTAAATGAGTCTCAATCAATTACCAAAAAAAGAGTTTAATTAATGAGTGAATTAGAAACTCATATGGAGCGGTGACCTAATCTTTACTAATCAAACAAATTGAATTATTAATAATAAAGCCTAAACAAAAATAGCAATAATTGAATATCAATTAACAAAGTGATGGAAAAAAAAGACGCAACCTCTCTACAATATCCTTCATTATTATTATTTCTGTGCCTCATTTGATATTTCACAATCTTTAAGACACTGTTGTTTTTCTTTTTAAAAAAGAACAAGTCTATAAATGCATATATATATATATATATATATATATATATATATATATATATATATATATTAAAATTTTGACCCAAATATATATGCAATGAGACATAAACATAAGGAACGGATAAAGTATATAAATAAAGTCATAAATGTATCTTCTTCTTTTGA